AATAATACTCTTGTTATGTTTTTAAGGTTAGTGAGGATCACATTAGGTTTTCCTTGGGTCTCTAATAAAATCAACTTCAATAAAAAGCATTGTTTAATGGTTCTTTTGCTAAGACAAAAATAGAGAGGGTTCTTAGCCTTTTTTCAGTAAACATTAGTCATTCAAATAAAATCATCTATTGCAACATCAACTTGTGGTTGACAAAGGTAAGAACAACAGTGTGCCAATTCTCCCCTACCTAGATACTTCTATAATCTATGTGCCCAAAAACTTTTCTAATCAAACAATCTTTAGAATCTAAACTCCTTTTTAATCAACCAGCTTTAGAAGAAAGATTAAATCATGGGACCAATGAATGAATCTTGAAGAATGAAGGGCTAATCTTCATCCATATTTGATGACGTTGATTCCCTTTTCACTCTTTGATAGAACAAAACATATGGAGAGACTTACTTAAAAGGACACTTTGTAAGTTTATTTTACTCTATAAAACACAATGTAACTTTGACATACTTTAGTTTGACAGGTGTCTTTTTTATGACGGAAGTACCCTTACTTTTGGTAAGGAGAATAATGTTTGTTTTAAAGATGCAAACGTAAGGACACTTAGTTGCTTTGTAGTTACAATTAATAATAAAGTCATAAAACTTAAAATTAGATATATGGATTTACGTAAATAGGCCGTGTACATCGGATTATTTTAAAGAAAGTAGATCCAACAGCTAGAAGAAAATATATTTTATGGGATGTCATTAATGGATTGTGAAAATTGAGAAAGTTAGTGAAGAATTTAAGTTTCATCAGAGCTTGTTATTTTGAAAGATATGGTGAAAGAGAGGGTGAACAGTGGAAAGCAATGGAGATTGAACATATGTTTATACTCTCCACACAAAAGCTCTGTTTTTTAATAATTCCATGTTTTTAAATTTTGTTGTTGTTGTGAATAACTTATTTTTCCTCAATTTATGTTTATATTCTCCACGATACATTCCTCCATGAATTACCCAACATATGATTCACGGAAATCCATCCACGATACACTATTCACGAGACACCATCCACGACACACTATCCATGTGAAACCCATCCATGATACATACGTTTATAAACCACCATCCACATATCACCGTCCATGAGTCTTATAGATGATAGGAAAAAATTCAGATATCCTTGAATCAGTACACATGTTCTCATCCATGGTTCATAAGATCACATAGTATGATTGTACAAAAACTTGAAATACAGACAGCCAATTGCATAGCTTCTCTATAAAAAATGTTAACACAATTCTCTTGTCCACAAGTAACTTGTCCATAATTATCTCATCCACAAATCTCTCTTCCACAACTTTGACGTCCACAATTGTCTCATCCACAATTTTCTTTATTATACGACTTGTGTTTATGTTTTTCGGATGTGTTTTGGTTTTGGTTTAAATACATCAGAGGTGGTCGAGCGTTCTGTAGCGTGGCGTGTAGATCGAAGCATACGGTCATGGATGAAGAAGAAAACTTTAGAAGATACAATTGTTCTTCATGGTTGTTAAAGCAACGAAGCTAGAATCACCGACTCCGATGTCTTGCGGTGGTCATCACCGTCATCGTTGTTTAACTTGTTTGATTGTCATAAATATAAATTTCAAATTTCAAATCATGACACAAGAAAAAAGAATACAAAAAAAATTCATAAAGGTGAGGATTTAGCAGATTCCGTTCTTACAATTTTTGGATCTAAAACAAAGGAATTGAATTTTTTTTAAAGGGAGTTGGTCTCGTTGGTTTCCACACGAAGAATTAAATTAAAAAAAAAGATTATTTGATGGTTCAGTTTCTAATGTAACCAAATCTACTAATATACTAGTTAAAGGGTTTATTGGTCAATTTAACATGAGAAAGTGTCTTCATTGTCCATTGTGTCTTTTAGCATAATTGGAAACTTGAATTGTGTCTCTTAGAGTAAATTTTTCAAACATATGCAGCCGAAGTCTTGATCTCAGATTTATCTATTGGTGAAACACGACTGTCATCAAAATCGTACCACTTGTCCTCATCCATCAGCTGCAGAAAGGAACACGTCATTTATTATATTCATTAAGAAAAGACCAACAAACTAACTCAGCGGTTTCAAGCGCGGAAACTTTGTATAACTAAAATTTATATATTTGGGTTATGTCTTAATTTAGAGAATGTTTTGGTATAAAATCAGTTTACCAAAATTTGTGGTAACGATTTTTTTCATTAGTTTTTAGTTTCAGTTTTAATTTTTAGATTTTGGTTTTTAGTTTTTAAGTTTCTATTTTTGATTTTCAGCTTTTGTTTGGGTTTTTAATTTTTAGATTCGCTGAGTTAGTTTGAACTGATATTACCAATAAACAAATCTCAAATAATCGAGCATCTAATTTAAAACTGAAAAGATGACAAAATTTTTTTAAAAAAAATTTGCAATAGTTTATTTTGTAAATAAACAAAAGTAAAAACTATAACAATATGTTATCCACAACAATGCGTGTTCAGCTTTTGGTTTTGGGTTTTAGTTTTTAGAATTGGTTTTTGGTTTACATTTATTTTTTAAAATCAGTAAATTATTTAAGAAAAATAAAACAATAAATTATTTAAAAGTTACCATTGAAATTTATCAAAAAAGTGATTGTTATTTAAAATAAAAAATACAATAACATGTTTTAAAGTACATGATTTAAATAAATGATTAATAATAGACAATTTTGTTTTGTTAAAAATATTAAATATATTTGAGCCTGAAAATAATAATTGATTTTTTGATCCATTAAGATAGAAATTTTTTTCAATGTTTTTTGGAGTTTTTCCTTAATAGTAAGCCTAAAAATCAAACCATATAATTTGTCCTAAAAACAAAAGTAAGCCCAAGACTATATCCCATAAATAATCATCGGTTTAGTTTAAGTAATGCAGTTCAATTAACTATATGACTTGTTGTAACACCCTAGAAAGAGTCCAAATTTAAATGATAATTTGTATTAGTAGATAAAAAGAATGACTCTATTTTAAAAATTAAAAACCCAAACCAAAAACTGAAAATGAAAGTAGAAACTTAAAATAATAAAAGCCAAAAACCAAAATCTAAAAATAAAAACTGAAACTAAAAACTAATGAAAAACAATCATCACCACAAATTTTGGTGAACTGATTTTATATCAAAATATTCTCTAAATTAAGACAAAACCCAATTATATAAATTTTTAATGATAAAAATTTTCCGCGCTTTCAAGCGCGGGTCAAAATCTAGTTCTATATTATATGGTGGTTATTTTCTATTTAAATATTTTATATTTGTGAGTATTTATCTTGGATTTTTAACTCGTTTGGATGGAATTATAAACAGTTTTGGGATTATATCCCTTTTCCAGTTTTGTTTCTTTAACCAGTTTACATTGGTGAAGCAATAGAGAGGTTATATGGCAAAGAAGGTAAGGTATATATTTTTTTTATTTGCCTTTTCCTCTACGTTTTTCTTTTCAGTAAATTTAGTTCATCTTCTAGAAAATTCACATATTTTCAGTTAATGGTTATTTTTGAAACGTAGGATAATTATTAATTTTTGAAAACATTTCCATTTATATGATTTTTTTCTTTTCTTTATCTTTTTTTTTGTTGTTAGCCCTCTTTTGTAAGTTTATACCCTTGTTCGGAAATTCACTAGGCGCCACACGTGCGGCCGGATAGCGTCTAGCACCGAATGAACTAATCATATATTATACAGAGATTAATTGGGAAGTAATTTTAGGGTTTTTAAATTTGATTTTCTATATATACAAAAAAGTAAAACAAACAAACTAATTTTAGGGTTTTTAAATTTGATTTTTAAATTTGTTTCATCTCTTCTTTACTCTTTACAGTTCACGGGTTCGAAGCTAAGAATCCGCATTTTGATACATCTTTTATTTTCGCATTAATAAAACGAAAATTACCTAACTGCCCTTATCTTCTTCCTCAACCATCGTAGAGCTGCAACCTTAATTTCCGCCGCTCTATTTTTTTTTTTTACGATTTTCATATTTTTATACTTGTTTTTGATGTTCTGATCCAATTATAACAGATTTCTACTATCACTTATGATTTTAAACTTAAAATTTAGAGGAAAAGTGATGTTTTGTTTTGGATCCGATTTGTTTTGGCGATTTGACCCAAATCGTTACGACTGGGTACCGATTAGCGTTTTTCGTCGATTAATCGGTTGTAACCGCCGCGTTTTTGAACAAGGGTTTATACCAATCAGACTTCAGAAGTATCACAGTTTCGGTAATTGGTGTGTTTTTTCCTTGTCAATATGTATTAAGATATTATTACTTGTATTTTTGTTTTCCTCCAAGTTTTATAATATTTTTTGCGTAAATTCAGCCCATCATAAAAAATTGACACGTTTTTTCGAATCAAATGTTCCACTACCACTGTCCAAAAAATTTTGTTCCCAAATACTCCTTCCCGAAATTCACCCCAAATAAATCCGAATAAATGTTTATTTAAGTAGGAAAATTTAATAAAAGACCAGAACACCAAAAGAAACTCGAATAATTACAAGGCAACCAGGGTATTTCGCAGACCATCCAAACCCGAATCATAAAATTCGGATCTCCAGTGTCCATAACTTCAGAAACATTACTGAAAATTTGTGTAATTATATAACTTGGTGTAAGTGTAACTGTAATCTAAGTTGGACCAATTCACACTTGTAGTAACTATACAACTTAATAAAACCTTCAACTATTTTTGATTGGTACATTTGCAATATGTTATTGATATTTTTAGTGATAACATATCGATACAACTTTGATTACAGTTTCTCTAAGACAATATAAAAATAGTTATTTATTTGCATTATGTTAATGATATATTTAGTGAAATTAAAATAAATAAAAACTATAGACATTACATTAAGGGAAAAGTATTTTACATAAAGTTTAGAAAAGTACATAACGGTGCATGGCATAACTTATAAACACACGAAAATACTTCATTCCTAATCTACGATTGGCCACTGAGCAGCGGCCAAATGAATATCATTGCAGAAGTCCCAAACTGCACATTTCCATAAACAACGATTGCATCTTCACCGTGTTCTTGATCCATCTAAGGAGACAACAATCACCGGTTGTATCATTTCAGAGCACCAGCAATTATAATTGATGTTGGGATCTATGTTTTCCAATAGAAACATAAAGATCTGTGTTTTTTCGTAATCCCAATGACTTGAGCATACCTCAGTAGCGATCATGTGATCCATCTGATCAGAAAACTCACGTGTAAGAGTAGTAAAGTTGTGAACCATTCCTCTATCATCAACACTAAATGCTAAGTTGAGCATACCATCAACGTACTTGGCCAACAAAAATCTCTTCTCACCAGCAAGACAAATTTTTTCCCTTCATTCATCTAGTAAATGGAGGACGAAGAACTCATACATACCTCGCAGGTAGATGGCTTGTGGATTACCGGCTTGGTAGCACTTAAACTTGTATGTTCTGACAGCATTAACTTCATCAATCCAGTCATTCAAGTGAATAATATCTGCATAAGTATTCTTCTCTGCCAATTTGATTAAAGGCGGGTAATGCAACTCTTGCACTATCGAAGTCCCGGAGATCGTTTGTTGCTACCTTAGAGAGAATCTTGTGAAGAATGGAAGGAGGGAGAGAAGCCAAGTTAAAGTTCGACATGGTGAGATATTTGTTTTATCACGTAAATGGAAAGATTAACGTTTTATTTATTTGGACAAAATGATAAACCCTTTTATATCAGCGATGATCCTCAACAGTGGAGAAGAGATAATATTGTATTTATCACGGCAGTTAAGGGTGATTTGATAGAGGCCTCGAGAAGGCATGACTTCTAACTGCAACAGTCGCATGCGTTGGATTTAAAACTTTGTAAAACTTTGAATGATAAAAATAAATAACTTTTTAAAACTAAGTGAAACAACTAAGTTAGATTGTCTAAATATATGAAACTAAGAAAAAATTTAACATTAGATAGTGTAACAATTTTCATAGTCTAAATATATGAAACTATGTAAATCTTTAAGAAATAAATATATTATTCAGTAAGAAATATCGGGGATAATAAATGAACTGTAATTTAATTTGTGTAATAATGATTTATTACCTCAACTACAAGTTGTAACTCTTCCATTTAAGAGTGATTTGATAGACGGTGACTTCCCCTCCACAAGACACGACTTCTCACGCACGGCAATAGTGGCATGCATTGGATTTGAAAACCGTGTTATTGAGAAAATATATAACTTTGTAAAAATAACTAATTTAAATTGTCTAAGTATATGAAACTAAGAAAATTTTAACAATTTAGATAGTATAAATTTATGCAACTATGTAAAATTTTTAAGATATTTAGTAATTTTAATTTCAATAATATTAAGCTTTATAACCCCAACACAACAAGTTGAGTTCAGTAAGAAAGACACAACTTTTCACAGTACAGTCGCCTATTATCATCATTACACTTCATTTAAATCTCACAACACTAAACCGTGTAGATCATCATTACATTTGCATTCAATTTAAGAAACCCTCAATTTAAATCCCACTCCACTGCAGTAAGTTAAGTTAAATCGTCTCCTTTATACCTAAAAACATTTCACCTGAGAATAACTTGAAGTTAACATGAAGTCCGTGTTCGTATAACCAGGTCAAATTTGTGATAGGTTCAAGTTCTCAATTGTCCAACATCGTAAACAATTGAGAAACTTTTCCAGTTTACCAAACTTCGTAGTAGTTCAACTTACTTGAAAGTTTGTGTTCGTACAACCAGGTCAAAATTTTTTTTAGGTTCAATTTCTCAATTGTCCAACATCGTAAACATTTGAGAAACTTTCTCAATTGACCATACTTCGTAGTAGTTTAAGTTTGCATAACTTAGGAGAAACTTAGGAAAAACTTAGACAAACATAATGTTTAACTTCGCATAATTTACAAAAGAATTAGACAAAACAGAATGTTTGACAAAGTCACTAGATTTAGGAATTATTTGTACATCATAAGTCAACCGAGAACTACAACGACAGTGATGATACTAACAACACAACATCTTGATATCATTATCTTAGGAATTATTTTGGGACCTTCACTGCTTATTGTTTTCGTTGCTTTGAGCAATTGAATTTCTTATTATAGCATTTGAACTTGGTACCCCCATCTGTTCATTCTCATCGGTGAAAGCTTCGTCGACCCATGTGAAAACGTGATCGTTGTTCTCGAGCTACAACATTCTAACATTTTATTCAAAATATTTAAGAGAACAACCCTTCGATAACTAAATCTTAACGGACGTTACCTTTTTTTTTTGCCGCATCGAGACACCGATAATACCGACGATATGGATTTGGACCGGATTTGGAGATGAGCTCGGTGATTCTCTCCCCGCACCAACACCTCTTAGGTATCCCCGGAGTTCTTACTCGTCGTATCCAACCACTGGTTGTGGAAGATGAAGCGGACTTAATTGGATTTGACATTGGAAGATTTTAGTTGAGAGAGAGAGAGAGAGAGAGAGAGAGAGAGGTAAAGGGAAGAGAGAGATAAAGGGAAGAGAGAGAAAGAGAGATAAAGGGAGAGAGAGAAAGTGAAATATAGAGAATGTGAAAAACGCAAAAGTAAGAGTTTTAGTATTAATTGGATTGGGAAGGGGGGGAAGAGTGAAATTACAAATTCGAAAAGCTGGTGGGCGGGAAAATTCTAGCCTAGTATTTTCGTGATTGAAGTTTCACCAAATTTGCAGTTTTACAGAAAACATCAAAGTTGTACTTTATAATTTTTTCTATTTATCTTGGTTTTACTCTATTACAATAACTGATTTTATGGTTATACCAGTTATGTTCTGTATACTAGATTCATTTCTAATTTGTCCATGTATACATAAACTCGATTCATTACTTAGTAAGATTTCAAATTAGACAAGGTGAATATTAACGAAAAAAATATAAGAAGATAGTGTACTCCGACATCATGATTACTAATAAGCAACGAGATTTTTTTTTTTTGTTCTGATAAAATCATAATCAACACAACCCAAAAATAACTCATAAAATACCATCTTAGTATTTTCGTAACAAGTTTAAAATTTACAATCCTATTACTCAGTTTACCTATCGTACCTATACCAGTAAAGGATAAAGTTTCACTTAGTTTCACAACACAAAATACAAATCTCACCTTTCAACGTGTCCTCTTGTGTTTCTTGTGGGGATATTCATTGTGTTCCTTATGTTCCAAACAAGTACCCACATTATCTTCTTCTCCATATCCACTCTCACGCTCACCATAATTCCTATTACATGAGCTTTCATTCTCAACTCTCGATAGTTACTCAGTTATTTTAGCTATTTCCAATTCTTGGGTGTCCTCTACATGCAAAATACTTCTTCTTTGTTCATTATCCACCGATGTTAGATAAACAAACATATCTTCATCATCCAAACATATATGATTGTCTCCTAGGTTCCACGACCAGTGGAATGTAACCAAATTTCAGCCTCTTTGTTAACGAATCTATTCTCATCTTTCTGCATATCCTCTCCTTCAACAACAAATAAGTGATCTCCTCCACTGATGATTTCCTAAAGGATATAGCATACAAACGACCATCGGCTGGAATCCATTCATAATTATCTCCAGACTTAGAATAATGTCCATCATAATCAAAGCGTATGTTTGTAGAAGAAAGACTCATCTGCAATTAAAAAAAAAATTAACCATTAAGTTATACCTGATTTATTCCTGGTTATACAGTTATAGCATGTTAGTTAAACGGTATTATACCTTGTTACACAGTTTTGCCAGTAACCAACCTTTTCCAACTTTTTCCAACTTTCCCAACTTTTCCAAACTTTTCCCAACTTTCCCAACTTTCCCAAACTTTTCCCTACTTTTCTGGTTCTAGCTATTCGTTTTCTCCCTCTTCAATTCGTTTCAATAGTTATCAGCTTGGATTTTTGACGTTCTATCTTTTCTTTTTCTTATGATTACAGTTATTAATTATCCAATTCCATAATAGACAGACCATTCACACATTCCGATCCTCAATTACTGATGTCTTGCATATTTCTATTGTTTTATCCATTCATCCATATGCGTTTTGATCATATAGACTAGGATTTAGTCATTTCTAGGTTGCACTTTTCATACATAAGTTCTTATCAGGTATTGGAGTATCCTTGGAGTTCTTGGAGGTGATTGGATGCATTTGAGGTCCTAAAGAGGAGTTTGAAGTGATCACTGGACGAGTATGGCGGGAGCGACGTTCCAGAGTGATCCCATGACGTCGCTCCCAAGCCAGAGCGACCCCCAGATCGAGACGTCATGGTTGTTTGGCCTTTTGACACTCGGTTGCAGGAGGAGGTCCTGGAGCGACGTCCATAGGTCGCTCCCAGCCAGAGCGACCTCCCGGAGCGAGGCACCTAGGTCGCTCGCCTTTTTATCAAATCCAGAAGCCGAAACAGCCCCTGAAGCGACGTCTCGGAGCGACGTTCATAGGTTGCTCCCAGAAAAAGCAACCTCCCGCAGCGACGTGGCAAGGTCGCTCCGCGTCATTTGCTTGGTCGAAACCTTGTATTTTCTAGGGACCTTTTGGTCATTTGTTTCATGTTTTTACAATTCCTAAACTTAAGTTTAAGTACAGTACAATCTCTATAAATTAATAATGTTGGGACTTTGAAATTTTACTAATTTATAGAGATATTAATTTATAAAAAGTATATTTTTATAGATTTTTATCTTCTTAAAATATTTTTATTTATAAATAAAATTGTATTTAATTTTATGGTATATATATTCATAAAATTTAGAAATTTTACTTTCTTACTATTTTATTGTTAATCCAATAAACAGTGAAACAAAGTGCCTACCAACAACTACTCCTCAATTTGACCTGCAATTCGTTCAGAAATCCAAAACACATTTTTTTTGTTTTTTTTTGCAGAGTTACCAGACAAAAAATTTAGAATTGGTAGCTCATTTAGCCTATCTCAGAAAAACTAAAAGGGAAAAATAGTAATAGTAGAGTTCAATCAAGTTTAACCCATCATAGATTCTTCAACATTCTAAAACAGAGATAAAAATCTCAAGCAGAAAAAAAAATAAAAAAAATAGCAAAGGTCTGTAATGGAAAATAGAGACAGTAGTAGTTTTTTTGAAAAGCAAAATAAGGGTGTTGATGGGTTGATAGGAATAGATATTCCCAATCACTCACGGCTGCGTTTGCGTTTCTTCTGGGAGTTTGAAGCCTCCGGAGTAGTTGCTCCACCACATTCCTCTCCAGTCTTCTATCCCAGACCAGACGATCCCGAAGATGTTCCTGCAATCCTTTGTCACTTTCAGTGAGTGGAAGAAGACTCGCACCATGTTCTTGAGGTACAGTCCCGACATGTGTAAATAATATGGTGCATACAGCCAAGTTAATGACAAGTAAAATCAGTAACCTTTTCATGGTCTGTTATGCTGTTATCTTTAGCGATCGTGGAGATAGTGAAGTTCCGGTGGTTGGACGTTTGTGGATCCTCGACTAGAGAAGATCTACAACGATGTTGAGGCTCAGATCCAGGAGGTCCAGACCCAGTTGTCGCAACAAGGCGAACCTGTC